CCCTTCCCCCCTATCCAATGGCACTTTCCTCACACAGCCACTTTTACAAGCTTTCCCTCTCCAAGGTTGCTGGGCAGGTGCTGCCACTCCTGCCTTCTCTGGCCTGCTTGTTTATTTACAGTTCCATGAGGGAGTGCCCTTCCCCCCTCTTCAGTGCTCAGGGCTCCTTGCTGTCTTTGCTGTGTGTCTTTTTTTGTTGTTGTTTATTATTCAGTTTGTTGTTTTCTCTTTTTTCCCTGGGTGGGGGTCAGTCTGTCCAGGGGACTATGCTGATCTGGGCCAGGGTTGTTTGTGGGAGTAATTCTGAAGGTCCTCTTGATCTTGCAGATTTCACAAATGAAAATTGAGACTGCTGGGGTTCAGGACACAATCCTGAAACAGGACTCTAGGAGGTTAGAATATGGTGCCCTGACTTTCTTTGGGATATTTTGAGCTAGTCTAAGAAAGTACAGATAGGAGGAGCTCTGGAAAGCTGTCCTTTTAAAAGGGAAATTTACATCTGCAAAGGAAACCTATATTATACCATACCTGTATCATCAGGAAGAGGGCTGTTCAGAGACAACTCTTGTTACTAGAGAGTATCTGCATAACAGGAACATTCACTATCCATTTCCTCATTCATCCTAAAACTTGTGTCCCCTCACCCTACTCTCCAATTGTGACTCTCCTGCCCTAGAGTCACCACCCAGGGAAAATTTAACTCCTCTTAAGAGAGGGTACTGGAGTTTGACATCATGTCTAGACAGATTTTCACCTATTCTGACAGCCCATTCATCTTTCCCCCAAATCATTTACTCTGCTCTAAATTGCCCCTCTATGCAAAGGATATATAGAGTTCTAGATCTCAGTGGGTTTGAAGGTGTTCACTTTCCTAGTTTGTCCCACAAATTTGTGTATCTTTTCTCCTGTTAGTCTGCCTATTGTCAAAGGATTGAGGGAAAGCCTTTTTCTACAAGGATGAGAAAAGAAATGGGTAGCTCTCCACTTAAGGTCATTTCTCCTCAAGGAACAAAGTTGAATGCACAAAGAAAAGTGTACAGTCATGCCAAGCAAAGAGACTTAGACCATGAAATTTACATTGACTTGTTTTCTCAACAGGGAAGTTGGCTCACCCTAAAACTGGAAGTTATCCAGACAATCTAGCCTGGAAGGGCTGGCCAGTTTAGAATAACGAGTTAATACCATTTAAGCAATTCCTATGAGCCCAGTATTTTCTAAGCCAATTTTATATTTCTCCTTTGTATTTTCTCAACTTGTGAGGTAGATACTATTGAAAACTTTGTTCTGGAGTTTTTTTTTTAAAGTACAAAGTTTATATGACTTCAAGTCACAGCTGATAAGTATTGGACTTCACATTCAAACTCAGATGGTACCTGAGTCCATGAGCTTTACCTGGCATGTACCTTATTACCTTTCTTTGTATTGCAGGGAGGTTATACAAGGACAAAGTTTTTTTTTGAACTTACATAAAATGATTAAGAAAAAAGTGTAGACTTTCTTGAAAGTTGGGGACTAGCCTTATTAAAATGACATAGCAGCTTCAGATGTCAGGGAAACAGTGAGCAGAGTACCTGGCTTTACAAATAATTGAGAATAGTTTCTAGAGATGTGAGAAGCACAAACCAGGAATTCAGAAATAAACATTGTATTAATGTATAATCTGATTAGAAGTGCACAAATCATTTTCTTTTAAGCTCCTTCACTGAGCAGTAAAAGGATGACCTCACTTCTCCACCTTCTTCCCTGCTTCAGATAATTATTGTGTCCTAGAAATCAAGCATGCATAGCTTCAAGAAAACTGTGTAGTGTACTCCTCTCCCTTCCTCTGAAAGATGGCCATTAAAAGTCACAAAAACACAGAAGTCACAAAAAAGCAGAATTAACTATCTCCTCAGATTTAATGGCTGAGGCTGAGCTGATAACCTCAGCAAGCTGTAGCAACAGGAATGATTGGGATGTGCCAGCTGCTTAGGACAAAGGAGCACTTAGCTAGAGGAATGTTTAAATTCCCTGCCCCTGCCCTGTTTTACCTAGTATAAGTACCCCTATGTTAAAATACTTGGCATACCTCTTTTCATGTGCCTGTACCCATGTCTGAGTGTGTACTGTCGTTTCCTTTCCTTTGCTTTACTAACAAACTTCACTGGTCTTTATCTCAACATGTCCTGAGATTCTCTGTGATGACAATGTCATGAACTTGGTACCCCAAGTTGAGTCTGTCTCCCTTCTGGGACTTTTTAGCTCATTCTTGTTTGGATGATAGGACGGTTATTGACTTGTGCATTCTGTCTGGAAAAAGGTACCTTGTTCTCTGCTGAATCCCCACACCCTGCTCTAAGTCTGACCCACTTTCTCATCCCCTCCCCTCATCTTCCCTGGGTTATACCTTCTTCCCATGTAACATTGCAAAGGACAACAGAACATGCTGTTTTGATTCTGATGTACTTCTCTTGGTCCCAGTCAGGCTTGAGAGATAATCTTAAGGTCCTCAAAGCATTGGGGGGGATGGGTTTTCTCTTGGGGGAGGGAACAATTAAACTATTCTTAAATTTTTAATCAGTTAAAGGCTTATAATACTGTATAATAAAATTTACTCAAAATTGAATCTTGTATTACTTGATGATGGATTACAAAGCACTTTAAATGATTAAAATGCCCTTTGTCATTACAGATATTATTGTGGATAATTGAAAATGCAACAATGAAATTAGTAGATCTTTTTGGTTGATAGCATGATGGATATATCAGCTTTTACTCTACTATCCAAGAGATAAAGTAGAATAAGAATAACATCTATATGCTTAGTGAAAAGCTGGCTTTGGCCTGAAAGGCCTATATTTCAGGTTGTTAATGGTGCTAAAAACTTTCTGACATGTGAAACTGCTTAATGAAGCATAATTATGAAAGCTTAATTAATAGTTTAAAAGCATTAATATTAAAAATTATCTTATTCTGTATAGAACACTTGGGCACATCATTTATTTCCTCCCAATATGCACTTTATCTTCAATCTAAGGGGTACCATCTCATCTGTCCAAGTAGAAAATTCTTGCCCTACTAAAAAGGTATACAACAAATGTATTATACCCAATTGTAGTTGTGTTTTATCTAATTTAACACTAGTTTTTTTTTGTTTGTCTTGTTTTGTTTTTGGTGGTGGGGATCAAACCCCGGGCCTCACACATACTCTACCACTGGGTGACACCCCCAGCCCAGCCTCTATAGTATTTCTTTGATGCTTAAAAATTACATGTCATGGTTGTAAAAGGAATGCACAAACATTCCAAAACAAAACCATTTGTGTTTTTACAAAGCACACCTGGTTTACGAAGAAAGGAAGTCTATTTCTTTGAAAATTACTTCCAAAGAGTTTCAAGGTCCAACCACCAGTGTCATCACTTTCTCTACACATGATAATCCAGTGTAAGCTGCAGCTGATTGCTACACATTTTTTTTTAATCTATCAAGGCTTAGTGGAGAGAAGTAAGATGAAAAGGAAATATAAATTCAAAATCTTTGTCCTTGGTCTAATGGCCTATTATTCAGCCAACTTTCTGCATGCTGAAAGGCATCATTAACACACCATTAAGGATGACATTAAAACTTCGGATCTCTTCTAAGCAGTAAGTAATGCCTCACATAATGAATTTTACTTGAATTCCTTGAAGTCCAACATCTTTCTATAAATATCTATTATGTTCATTATATGCTATAGAGGAGTGTAATGACACAGAGTATAAAAATATATGTACTTTGGTTTTTAAAAATTCCTTCTTGACAGTATAAAACTTGATGAATTAAAGAAAAGAAGGGGAAGGAGAGTAATAGGATAAATTTTAATTCTCCTTTAAGGCCTATATTGAAGTTCTAAAGCACAAACTCTATTTAGCACAAGTGTAACATGCCTGATGTTTCCATCAGTACCATGACCTCCCATTCAATGAGATTTGTGATCTCAGACACATGCTGTTTTCTGAAAGATGGTGCTGCAACATCTCCATTCTAACTGTTCCTCTGGCAAGGGGCCTAGCATTTCTCACTTCCAAGCTTTTCTCCTTATAGAGCATTTGAAGAATAGCATAAGTTTTATTCCATTTTGCTAGTGAATGTTGGTTTCCAGGACTTCCCATTCAAACTAAAGACTTATTAGCATTTAAGTTCCTTTCACTAGGGAGCTGAGGATTCCTTCCATAATGACCTAATTGAGAAGTACAGAGTTTCTTATTTTAGAATCAGTAAAAGAAGTTTCCAAATGGGCAAGGAGGCATGAAATTACAGGCATTGCAACCTTTCCTATCTACTTTGAGCTTGTGCTCAGATGCCCAACCATCTGGCTCACACTTGACCTCACTTTAAGAACAGAGGTTATATAAGAAGCCACTGCCTCAGGCTCAAGGTAAAGCTCCAGTCTACCTTGAGGTCTTCTGTCTAGAATCTGGACTTCCTTGTCTACCATCCTTCTGAACCCATGGCCTCTTCACCTTAGCTCCTGATCTTTTTTATTCTACTGTCTCCTAACCTGGGTCTATCTCACTAGTGTCTTGTTTGCTTGTTACTGTTCTTCTTAGGCTTGATCTATGTTCTTCAACTCCCAGGCCTTGCTTGACCCCTTTTAGGCCTGCCATGTCCTATTGCCTCCCAAGTGCAGAGAAAAAGGACATCTAAATCTTGGTTGGTATTGGGCTACCAGGTAACAAGGTGACTTCAGATATGAAGTTGTAACCACCCTGGGTGCTCAGTTTCTCTCTCTCTTTCTTTCTTTCTCTCTTTCTTACCCCCCTCCCTCTCCCTCTCTCTATTATGCCATAAATTTTACTGGACCATCTCTAGGGTGTACACTCTAGAGGACCACCAAGCTTCTTCCTTGTTTCCCGCCACCCATCTGTCTTTGAAGCAAATAATTATGAGTACAAAGTGCTGTAACTTACAAGTAGGACTCTGCCAACCATTTGAAAAGAAAAACTTTCAAAGACAATAGCATTTTATCTTTATGTGCACCACATTATATAGTTTGCAGAGTGTGTAAGGCAGTGTGTTAGTCTTGTTTTATGCCTGAGTAGCTGTGTTCCCAGACTTCAAAGGTAGCTCCTCCACATAAGCAGCAGGAAAATGACCCTTTTTTCCATTTAAACATCCAAACCACCATCCATCTTCTTTCTTCTCATGTAGAGTCACAATGTCTCCTGTAAAAATATATATTTAGACAACTTGAATATCCACCACAGCCTGATTGGTAAGAGATTTAAGGAAATTCTATATTCAAGGAATTACTGGGTAGCATCACTTTCTGCTACCATTTGAATCCATTTCATTCAAACGGAGCAAAATTATTGAGCATCAGTGCTATTCACAATAGCCAAGTTATGGAAACAACTAAGATACTCCACTATGGACGAATGGATTAAGAAAATGTGGTACTTATACACAATGGCGTTTTACTCAGCCATGAAGAAGAGTGAAATCTTATAATTCTCAAGTAAATGGATGGAACTGGAGAACATCATCCTGAGTGAGGTTAGCCAGGCTCAGAAGACCCAAAATCGTATGTTCTCCCTCATATGTGGACTTTATATCTAGGGCAAATACAGCAATGTTGCTAGACTTGGGTCACATGCTAAGGGGAGAGCACATACGTGAGGTATGGGGATAGGTAGGAAACCCAAAACATGAAAGTGTCGGATGTCCCCACTGCAGAGGAGCTAATACAGAGACCTTAAAGCGACAGAGGTCAATATGGGAAGGTGATCAGGAATTAGTGAAAAGGTGAGTTAGAGATGAATCAATTTAGGTTGTAACACACACTTGTGCATGGAAACAGTGCTAGGAATCTCTCTGTATAGCTATCCTTATCTCAACTAGCAAAAGTGCTTTGTCTTTCTTATTATTACTTATGTCTTCTCTTCAACAAAAGTAGAGAAAAGGGCAGAACAGTTTCTTTCTGGAAGCGGGGTGGGAGTGGTTAAGGGGGAGAAATGGCCCAAACAATGTATGCACACAATGAATAAATGAAAAAAAAATAAATTTGAAAAAAAATTGAGCATCTGTATGAAGCAGGCATCATGCAAAGAATACTAAAAAGAGTGAGAAAATGAAAACTGAGTTATGCTATGAAAGAGTTTGTGTAAAAGCAGAATCAAGTTGGTTCTCAAGCTGCCTGGCTCATTCTGTGTATATAGTGGATGGGATGTCAGAAAACTCTTTTGATGTCTATACTTTAAAGGTTTCACATGTTGGTGGCCATGAGAGTTTGGTATGTTGACTCTTGTGAGTATGTCTCAGCTAACAGTCTTTAAAGATCCAAATAGCTATTGCTTATACTCTCTCTACAACAAAATTAGAGATAAGGGCAAAATAGTTTCTGCTGGGTATTGAGCTGAGGGGAGAGGGAGTGGGCGGAGTGGGTGGTAAGGGAGGGGGTGGGGGCAGGGGGGAGAAATGAACCAAGCCTTGTATGCACATATGAATAATAAAAGAAAAATGAAAAAAAAATAAATGTCTTAATATGGAAAAAAAAAAAAGATCCAAATAGCTTCTCTCCATTACACCTGGCTTCACAGTCTGAAATTTCCACTTGCAGCTTTGCAAAGAAATATAATTCTCCATTCATCAATTTAGATCGCTTTAATAAAACATCAATTTAAAGACTATACTTTTTAAAACAATAATGCAAGTAAATTCCCAACCAGTTCTTGTCTAGTTCTCTACTGATTTTTAAAGTCAATGTGATATTATTAACCTTAAAGATTAACCTTGTGCCCCAAATCCTTTGATTAAGTATCTAGCTTCTAAAGAGTCCTTTTTTTCTGACTTTGTTGTGGTTTGGATATAAAGTGTTCCCTGAAGGCTCTGTAATGAACACTTGGTCTCCAGCTGGTGGTGCTATTGAGAAGTGATTAGAGCTTGAGGATGCTAACTTCATCAATGGGTTAATCTGTTGATAAGTTCATACTGAGTGGACTTTTAGGAGGTGAGTTCGGTTGAAGGAAGTAGGTTACTGGGGGCATGTCTTCGAAGAGTGTATCTTGTCCCTGGCCCCTTCCTGCCTCTCACTGCTTCCTGGTGCCATGGGGCAAGTAGCTTTCCTCCACCATGGCCTCCCATTGTGATGTTTTCTGCTTTACAACAGGCCAATAGGGAAAACCAACCATCAAATGAAACCTCTGAAATAAATCTTTCTTCCCTTAAGTTGTTTTTCTCAGTTATTTTGTCATAGTGACAAAAGACTAACACAGGTTGCTTCCTATACATCAAAGTAGAAGCATCTGCTTTCTTGAAGATCCAGTATCTACTTTTTTCTTTAGAATCATTCTGAAGTAACATTTAGTCTTTCTTTCAGTCTTTTCCCCAGTAATTTTCTTTCTAAGGTAAAGACAATGGTTAAATCCCCTTCTATTTTTCTCTTAGTCAAGGTCTCCCTTTAATGAGGTCTGTCAGGTTAGTAGATTGTTTGACAAAATCTATTAACTGGAATTCAAACAAATACGTGAAAGTGTATTGTCAGCTTTCCTAAGGCTTCTATGGTATGTTTTACGTAAATTAACTACTCAGTATATAAAGCATAAGTAGGATCTGCAACCTAGAACTGAAAGCAAACAAGAATCCATTGTTGTGAACTCTGTAACTCAAACTTGGGATCCTTTGAGTTCTAGATGGCCTCTGGGAAATGTGGGTTTTTTAATTCAAAGAGAAAGAACAATAATTGGTTGGAAAAAATCTGACTAGCATGCTGAAAATAAAGATAGTGAACAATAGCAAAGGTACAATGTCCATTTGGCTGCAAAATCCATCTCAATTCCCATTGGCTCTGAACACCATATCCTGGTCATGTATAACAAACTTTCTCTTATAGCCTAACTCCCTTCACTAGCCTTTCATTTCCAGATCTCTTACTTAGCTTCAACATCCAAATTTGGACACATAAAGAAAGTTGAGACTTGTTTTTGTTTAATAAAGTTGATGTTTTTTATAACCCATCATGTACCTTTCCACATTAAATAAAAATCTATGACACAAAGAAGGGCATCTGATTGTTTAGAATGGCCATAAAACACTTTCCTGAGAGATAAGTGAAACAAACATTAAGCTGTGTCAGTTGACCCAGTTCTGGAACTTTCTCATATTAAGTCATGAGAAGTCACTTCACATTCCTGTGGGTTTAGTGTCTAAAAATTAAAAAGGTGGAGCTATTATCTAATGACTTCCCATTAGAACATTCCATTCCACTGTGATTAAGGACATGACTGAGTTTATACATTTGAATCCTGTGCCACCTCTGACTGTGACTTCAAAGTACTTTGTGCTTCTTAGCTCAGCTGTAAAGTAGGAATAAATAACAATACCTATCTCAAAGGGTTTTTATGAATATTAAATCAAACAATATGCTTGCAATAATGTCTGGCACATGGAGACATGGAACAACTGAGCTGTTGACACTTTGTGACAACAGCTCACATGGGTTTTCTTTTTATATATAGTCTAAGGAGTAATTATAAACTTCAATTGCTAAAAACTTCAGACTGCCATGCTATGACAGGGTTTTACTTATGTCAAGTACTTCAACATGAAAAGGCAATTAAAATATTCAAGAATGAGTCTTACCTTTTTCCAAATTCAACTCATCATCTTGCCTGGCTTGAAAAGGATATAAGGCCTTGCAAAGACTGTTGCCGGGCTGGGTCGCACCAGAGGCTGAAAGTTGGATTAAGTTGTAATTACCATCCTGTGTTAGTAGACAAAATGAATATGCCCAGAAGCTCTTTTGTTACTTACCAGCAGAGTTCAGAGTTTAATGCATTGAAATTTTCTTCAGAGGAAAGTTTATAATTTTTACCTAATATTTATTCCTTGATTTGCACTTATGGTGTTTAGACTGTAGTATACTACATTACCCAAAACCATATTATAAATAGGAAATGATAAGTCTGAAGAAGAAAAGTTATAGCCATTATAATAGTAAAGATGAAACCATAAAATTATTTGCTTTCCACATGAGCTTAGTCAACAAGTGTGGTAGTTGCATGCATGTTTGGGAAAACACACCAGCATTTCCATCGGGTAGAGCTGGGATATTGGAGCATGTGCTTCTCACCATCATCCCTGTTTCTCAAACAATGCAATGGTAACTTTTTAACATATTGTGTAGACCATAGTGCCCTGGGCTTAACTGAAACTTTTTTTTGTCAATTTCTAATCAAGAAACTAGAGAGTTGAGATTATAGTATGTAGTTCAATAATGAGGGACAATGACATCTGCGTGCATAAGTGTGTGTATATGTGTATGTGTGTGCACACAACTTCTCATGTTATAAAATGTCTTCCCCAGCCCCCATTCTTGACTCTCTCCCCCTCTCTTATTACATCTGTACATAAAGCTATAGATTTTAACAAATTAATCAGTCCCAACTGAAATGTAAATTTCTTTGAGCAAACATAAGAATTGTGACTCTGAAAATAACATTTAAATGTAGCAATGTGCTTTATCAATAAGACCCAGCCCCAAGTCACTGTGGGCATTGCATTACCTGAAGATGGAGAACTCCGAGTGGTCTGGCCGCTGGAAGATGCCCTGCTCGCAGCACTCTCTAACCTCTTCATCAAAAAAGGCCGGGATATTTTTACATAAGTGTGGGTATGCTCCTGTTCAAATAGTTTTTTAGAAGACATTTTAAACAACTCCATTATAAGTATTCATGAAAAGCAATCCTCTGTCGCTCATTTCCTCAGTAATTTTTTTAAATGGGGGTCAAAATAAATTAATACATTCCTAAACCCTGCTATGGTTAAGCTTTCTTGTTTCTGAAGACTTACTGTTTTCAGAACTAGGCAATTGTATTTTATAGCCCGTGTTTCCAACTTTGATCTGTATGTCTAGGCCAAATAATAACATCCATAGCAACACTGCTACAAATCCAACTTTAATGGGCTTTAATGCAAGTGAAATGATCCTGCCTACATGATTAAGACTGTTTGTAAAGCTCGTGAATCTCTTTAGAAAGAACACTGCCCCTTCCCCATGAGATGGTATAGTTTCCCCTTCTGAGTGGTAATGGAAATCAGGTACAATCAATAGCTACCCTTGAACACGGAGTTCATCAGTTCTTAAAAGGTACAACACTGAGAAAATGCCTGTGTGTATGAATTTAAAACTGTGCTCAGACATTATCCAGTATTGTAAATGATGCATTACATTTAAACTATGTTCAAATGAGACTGATGCATGTCATAAAATCTTATGATTTAGGTCTGTATGAGTGCGAAGATTTTAATTTAATAGAAATGTTACTATAAAAACACATTCAAAGGTTACAAGTTAGTAGTAATTTAGTCTGAGTACAGAGAATGTGTTCAGTTTTGTTTAGCTCTTACTGGGTTCCAAAAGGAATAAAAATAAATTTATCTTAAAATTTTGCAGTAAGGATTTGGGGCATATGACACATAGATTTCATAATAGGTTTTTTGCCTCAATGCTACTTTAAGCCACTCTACCTAGCAAGCCCAGTCCAGAAATGACAAGTGGCCTCTCCCATTTTACCTTCTCCTTCCATTTGAAGATGGAGGTGCTACATGCATGGCTGGGTTTAGGTCTTTGCTCAAGTTCTGCTAATACTGATGCCAGTTTATAGGAGTTTGCTTGCAAAAGGTCTAGTTTCAAGTTGTTCTGTGAACACATGATTGAATCATGTGAGTACGTTTTTGGAAAATGAGGTACAACTGTGTAGATAAAAGATTGTCAGGAGAACTTCCAAAATAACAAAGAGGACAAGAAAAGCACATATTTAACTCAGATGTGCACCACAAATGCTGAAGAGAGAAAAACTTGAAATGAAAAAACCTTTAAAGTAGTCTAGTGGATGTATCTTAGTCTGTACTCTTGAAAACAGGGTAAAGAAACTTGTTAGATACATTACTCAGTATTGTGGCAATGAATAGCTTCTTCTACCAAATCACCAGGTTGGGCAGAATTATTCAGTACCTACTTTCACAACAGAGCCAGGCTACATGAAAAAAGCAGGTCCAGATTCCTGGATCCTTTAAAACATTGTTAAAAATCTTCCTTTTCCTGAATTCTCAGATTAACCCAAGCCTATTTCCGATCACTGGATCACAGTGAAAGCCTTCATCTTGCATGCATAGATAATATGTATCAGATTGTTTTTACTCCTGTGTAAAACCTATGAGTCCTTTTCAAGTGGCCCTTTTCATGTGGGCCTTTCCCAAAGTGGCCAAATGTCTACCATTCCTATGAATGTCTGTGGGACTGCTAGGGTCCCAGCTCTCAGCAAAAAGGCCAGCAGGCTCATCAGTTGCCCTCTTCTGACTTTGTCCCTGCTCACCTTACCCCCCAAAAACCTGGCCTCCAAAATTGTTCTGGTTTCCTCAGAGGTGCTTGCCTCATACTTTAGCCTGCCCTCTCCCTCCCTGCTGCAGCGTCTTTCCTTTCTCCTGCTACTCTCCAGGCCCTTGATTTCAGCTGAGGACAAATGGAAAACAGCATCTTAATAAAAAATGCAGGTGCTTTCCACTCAGGATGAAGCTGTGTCCCAACAAACCCAATATTAAATGAAAATACTGTGACCCGAAAATGTACTTTTATGTGCCTCACGTACTAAATATCCTGGTTTAGCCTAGCTGATCTCCCACACACTCAGAACACTTACATTAGCCTACCGTTAGGCAAAACCATTGAACTCAAGGTCTATTTCATAATAAAGTGTTGAATATCTCATATAATATACTGAATGCTATAGTGAAAGACAGAATGGTCCTGTGGTTATGCCTTCCCACCATGGTAAGGTAAAAAATCAAGTCAAACCCTTGTAAGGTGATAACTAGTTTTGAGTTCCTTTTCTGAGCATGGTGCTAACACTTTCTAAAGAATACTTCATCCTCACAAAAACTGTATGAGGTGAGGATCAATATCCCCATTTTTATAGATGAGAAAACTAAAGTCCCAGGTTCCTATAACTGGAGGAGCTGGATCCAAACACAGTCCTTTGTGAATGGGTCACCTGTGTTTTGGGTCACTTTTCCTAACTAGGTTAAAGTACATATGGCTTCATTAACAATCTATTTTGGAGAATTCTATTTTAGACACAATTGTTGTTTTCCTAGCATCCTTCTTATATAGGATTCTAAAGCAAACATTTCTAGGTATTGGAGTTTTCTAGATTCCTAAAACTATCTATGAAGGAGCTGGTCCTATAAGCTCTGACTGGATTGTTCTATATCATGAGAAAAAAGGCAAACAGAGCAAATGGGCTGAAAAACAAGTATTCTAAAAATAACCCTTTTTAGCATGAAATGCACTCTGCAAATATTTACCTCATCCATTAATGCTGCTGTATCTTTCTGGCTCTTTGCATCGGAGAAGGAGTTGTTAGAGTATGCATTAAGCATTTGTTCCAGGCCTGAAAATGAAACCATGTCTTGGTCACCTGTCGTCCTGTTCTAGGGGAATACTTGTGACTCAGACACTCTCAAAGGGAACTTGAACCTAGAAGTGACACAAGCAGAACTTCCTAGATGGCAGGGGGAGTCTCTGAATGTAGTTGTTACTGAATTTTCTTCCTGAATGAATACTGGTAAATGAATTCACTGTTCATTTATTATTAGCCTCATTTAATGAAATCTGAGAAATGCTGGTGCATAAAGTCTCTTGATTGTTATTTTCCAAGATAAGATATTGAATTCCTTTTGGTTGCCCATTCCAATCTTTCTAATATTTACACAATGTTAGGTTCTTCCTCACTATTCTGTTTATGTTGCCAACGTTTTCTATCTTTATTTTCTAGCTTCATTCCATCGCAGTGAGTTACTGTATTGTGGTCGGTCCACTAAAACAAGCTAGACAGATTAGAATCACAGGTGTGCAGTCATTTTTATTTGCATTATTTTAGATCTGCTTCACACTCTATCACTTCTAATTTCTAAGTATGGAATTTAATTTGAATGATTTTCACATTATTTTGAAAGTTAGTAAAAAGAGAAAAATAATACCCTAAAATTCTGTGCACAGTGGGTTTACCATGTTTTAAATCATACAAATTGTCTCTCATTCTGGCCAATTTTAGAAGCACCATAAAATGCTATGTGTCTAAAAAAAAGGTAGGATAGTATTTATGTAGCTGTCATAAATAGGCCAAAATTGGCATCTTATGATTTTTGCTTTCTCTTTTCTTTTTAAAAACTTTTCCTTTATTCACACACTGAGGTTCAAAATATGTTGTTAAAATGAGAGTTGTTAAAACCCGGCCCCAGTCAGCAGAAGCAGATGAGTCCTAACTCTGAGTAGGCGAGCACACACCTTGCTTGTCTCTTGAGGCCTTTTCAATGTCTTTCTGCAGTCTCAACAATTTTGGCTTTAGTAAAGACTTCCGTCTCTCTTTATCCATTGCATTGTTAGGATCTTCTTCCTTTAGGGGGAAGAAAAAGGAAATTTAACAACTTAAGGGGAAGAAAACAAGAGTTGTTACTCCCACTTGTTCTGAGACTTTCACTGACTGTGTTTAATTCTACTTTATTAAAGAAAAAATGTTTTAAAAAATGAGGATACTCTTTGGTTTTTACACACAATGTTCTACATGTTCTAGACCCGATTAATAACAAGACTTCTTGCTCACTCGTAAGGACTTGGCTGAGCACACCCTTTCACAGAACAAATTACCCTTGAAGGAGGGCAGAATGACAGCTATTCCAGGTTCTTGATGAAATGTATTTGTTGGATACTATTTCTCCTTAAAATAATTTACCTGTACGCATGTTAGAGTCCTTTAATGGTCCAAATATAATACAGTGTATGTTCCCCAGGCTAGGGCTGTCTAGGGAGTGGAGCAGTGTTACTGCATTTTTGATAGTTTGGTATTGGGAATACATCAGCTAAAACACATGCTGTGCCCCAAATGGGTTCACAATTTGCTTGGCCTTGAAGCATAACATTAAGAGAATCAGCAATGCAAGGTCACTTGCATTCACCAAGGGTGGGGGCAGCTGAAAGCTTCAAGGAGGCTCGAAGGACATTTTAGTCAAGCTGAAAGGAGGGCAAGCACATTCTGAGCAGGAGAACTGGCACAAGTGAAGGACGGAGGGAGGACGCTGTGTGGAGCATTATCAGGAACAATTGCTTGAGCAGAAATAGTGGAAGAAAAAGTTGTCTGTGTAGATTAGGCCAGATTTTAGGGCTAACATGGTGTTTTATCACAGAGGCTGTGAGGCACCATTAATGATATCTGATATAGATTATTTCAAGGGTTGAATACAAAAAAATTGGGATGATGAAGTGGGAAGGTGGCTGAACATGTGAAGCAGAAATTCATGGAGAAAGAGACATAATGACAACACAGAAGTGAAGGGGGCAGGTTTCTCTGATAAGGAAGGAAAAACTAGGGTCAAAACACTGGTGGACACATTAGCTTCAGGCAAATCATCATGACAAGGGGAGCATGAGGATGTACAGCAGAAGGAGTGGCATCTGTGAAAATGTAATAAATGGGTAAAATATTTTGTTTACATATTATACATTATTAAAGTTTCTCTTTATTACATGCAGTTCTTACAACAGCTCTATGAGGCTGGTTTTATTTTCCCCATTTCACCTGTGACACAAATAAAAGAAGGTCCAAGGTAAAATGAAAGTGGTCATACTTTGACCCCAAATTCTCTACCACTCCTTCACATGTTTGCCCATAGCTGAGGTCCAGCCGGTACTCCACCCTCAGGTGACCTCTGACTAAACAGAAAGGACACTTCACTGCAGCCCTAAATCCTTCCTTATTGGAGGAGCCAATCAGGATGTAGCTCCCCGCACAATCTAAGACCTTGGTGGGTCTATTTGGGACATCCATTATTTAAACACGTATTTTCCATCACTTAACTTTCTCAAATTTGTCCTTTTTCAGATTTCTTAGAAAGTCAGAACTAGAAGAGCCATATAAAACTGCAGATACACTCTTTTAAACATGACATTATAGTAACCTTACAAATATTCTCTCTCTATGAAGCCACACAACTATAACCAACTTGTCTTTGACAAAGGAGCTAAAAATATACGATGGAGAAAAAGCAGCCTCTTCAACAAAAACTGCTGGGAAAACTGGTTAGCAGTCTGCAAAAAACTGGAACTAGATCCATGTATATCACCCTATACCAAGATTAACTCAAAATGGAGCAAGGATCTTAATATCAGACCACAAACTCTAAAGTTGATACAGGAAAGAGTAGGAAATACTCTGGAGTTAGTAGGTATAGGTAAGAACTTTCTCAACGAAACCCCAGCAGCACAGCAACTAAGAGATAGCATAGATAAATGGGACCTCATAAAACTAAAAAGCTTCTGTTCATCAAAAGAAATGGTCTCTAAACTAAAAAGAACACCCACAGAGTGGGAGAAAATATTTGCCAGCTACACATCAGACAAAGGACTGATAACCAGAATATATAGGGAACTTAAAAAACTAAATTCTCCCAAAACTAATGAACCAATAAAGAAATGGGAAAGTGAACTAAACAGAACTTTCTCAAAAGAAGAAATTCAAATGGCCAAAAAACTCATGAAAAAATGCTCACCATCTCTAGCAATAAAGGTAATTCAAATTAAAACCACACTAAGATTCCACCTCACCCCTGTTAGAATAGCCATCATCAGCAACACCACCAACAACAGGTGTTGGCGAGGATGCGGGGAAAAAGGAACCCTCTTACACTGTTGGTGGGAATGTAAACTAGTGCAACCACTCTGGAAAAAAATTTGGAGGCTACTTAAAAAGCTAAACATTGATTTACCATTTGATCCAGCAATACCACTCTTGGGGATATACCCAAAAGACTGTGACACAGGTTACTCCAGAGGCACCTGCACACCCATGTTTATTGCGGCACTATTCACAATAGCCAAGTTATGGAAACAGCCAAGATGCCCCACTACTGACGAATGGATCAAGAAAATATGGTATCTATACACAATGGAATTTTATGCAGCCATGAAGAAGAACGAAATGTTATCATTCGCTGGTAAATGGATGGAATTGCAGAACATCATTTTGAGTGAGGTTAGCCTGGCCCAAAAGACAAAAATCTTATGTTCTCCCTCATATGCAGACATTAGATTAAGGGCAAACACAACAAGGGGATTGGACTTTGAGCATATGATAAAAGTGAGAGCACACAAGGAAGGGGTGAGGATAGGTAAGACACCTAAAAAATTAGCTAGCATTTGTTGCCCTTAACGCAGAGAAACTAAAGCAGATACCTTAAAAGCAACTGAGGCCAATAGGAGAAGGGGACCAGGAACTACAGAAAAGGTTAGATCAAAAAGAATTAACCTAGAAGGTAACACACACGCACAGGAAATTAATGTGAGTCAACTCCATGTATAGCTATCCTTATCTCAACCAGCAAAAACCCTTGTTCCTTCCTATTATTGCTTATACTCTCTCTTCAACAAAATTAGAGATAAGGGCAAAATAGTTTCTGCTGGGTATTGAGGGGATAGGGGGGAGAGGGAGGGGGTGGAGTGTGTGGTAAGGGTGGGGGTGGAGGCAGGGGGGAGAAATGACCCAAGTGTTGTATGCACACATGAATAATAAAACAATAAAAAATGTGAATAACCTCAAAAAAACAAAAACAAAAACAAATATTCTCTCTCTGGTCACTGGCCCTCCAAATTTTGACCTCGGACTGTTCTCCTGTCTTGCCTTTGCCCACGTGAACTTCACAGCACTGGATAAAAGCCAATGCCAATACTACAAAGTCAGACATTGGGGTGCCTTGCTTTGAAGATGCCAAGATGATCCTAGTCACTCATTTTGAGGCAGTCTTTTCTCTTAGACTTAGATATGTGGTTTCAAGTTCTGGCACACTGATGTTTCTGAGAAATTTAAAAATCTCCTTGAGCATGCCAATTAAAGAATCACCATGGCTACTGCCTTACATTTTGATAGAACCCAGTCAAATTTCCTATGCAAATTGCCCTCGTTTTATTGACAAGTTAGTTGATGGGGACATTTTTATTGTCCTTTCTCATCTGAGGGCCCCCCTACAACATTTGGAGGAGAAGAAAGATATCTTCTCTTTGCAGTCCCACCTTTACCTTTGTTTCTGCTTTGAACAGGCGTTGCTATTGCTGCACCTTGCCTTGCCAAAGTAAAGTTAAAAACTCAAAGAAATAGCTGGCAGGGCGTGGTGGCTCATGCCTGTAATCCTAGCTACTTGGGAGAAAGAAATCAGAAGAATTGTACTTTGAGACCAACCCTGGGGAGAGGGGGATGTTAGTGGGACCCCCATCTGAAAAAATAAGCCAAGTGTGTTGGATCATGTATGCAAGTGGAGCTATGTGGGAAGGATAGGGAGGAGGATCTTGGTTTGAGGCCAGTCCCAAGGGGGTAAAAAAATGTAAAACCCTATCTGAAAAATTACTAAAACAAAAAGGGCTGGAAGTATGGCTCAAGCAGTACAGCACTTGCCTAGAGAATGGAAAGTCCTGAGTTCAAACCCCAGTATTGCAAATAAAAAGAAAAACTCCTGGCCACATGTGGATGTTTGGAGGATAGGGAAGGTGAAGTCTATCAGGATTCACAGCTCTGCCCCATCTAATTGCTTCTCTTGTTCCTGAGTAAGGGTCTGAGTTATTGGCCCCAGGTCTGTTGTACATTTAACTCAGTAGGAGGACATGACCACTCTGGCTCTATGGTCCTGGCTCTACTGCCAGACCAGGACTGGCTCTATAGATCAGGGAGTACTAAGACCCCAATTAAAGCTTAAAAGCCTAAATAAAATACAGTAGATTTGGTAATTAGTGATCAGCAAATAGGGACTTGCCTAGTATGTATGAGGACTCCTGATTTGATCCCTGGTACCACCACATAAACACACATACACACACAAACAAAAAACAGGAATCTTGGGGCCTGGTGGGTGAGCCTGTAGTTCCAGCTGCTTGAGAGACTGAGCCAGGAAGCTTACTTGATACCAGGAGTTTCTGACCAGTTTAGGCTCCTGGAATACTACAGTTAAGACTAACAAGAGGGAGCAAAAGCCAAAGTATTTGAGGCATGACTCCAAAAAAGCCAAAGAATTTACCCCAAGACTTCAGAGGCAAGATGCCAGGGCTCTAACTAGAGACAAAGATTTCTTTTTCAGCAAGAAAGATTGTTTTGTGGTAGAATAGTTTCGATGCCCTCAAAATAAGCCCCAGGTAATTTGGTCCAAGCTTTTTAAGGGAAGGGATGGTAAACTACCTTCTAGTAATTATGCCTCTGTGTCATCTTCTCCCCTTGAGCATGGGCTATACTTACTGGCTAACTTCTAACAAATAGATGCCATAGATTTTCCTTGTGTGATTAGTTTGTAGTGGGCCCTTGGCTTTGTTCCCCAGGATGATCATCCTGGGGGAAGCAGGCTTCCATGCAGTGAGAAACGAAAAAAACCCATGGGAAGGAAGTAGCCTCTCCCACTCACAGTCAGGGAGGGCCAGAGACCAAAGCCACAGAGTGAACTTGAAAACGGAGTCTGTCCTCATAGGGCCTTGAGATGTCTGCAGTTCTAGCTGACACTTCATGAGGACTCAGGGGTACCCAGCCTCACTAGGGCTTGTTTCCTGACCACATAAACTGTGAGATAATAAATTAACATTTATTAAGTTCGGGAATAATTTGTTACACAACAATTTGTGTAGACAACCAGACAGCACAATGTGCTGTACAAAGATTATTTGTAAATCATTTAACACATCTGTGTAGTATTACTCAATGATTTAACTGTTCTCCAAAGTTCACATGCTGGAAACTTAATGCCCAATGCAACAATGTTGAGAGATGGACCTGTAAGAGGTGATTACGTCATGAGGCTTCAGCTTCAAGAATAGACTAGTGTTGTTATCATGCAAGTGAGTTTGTTATAAAAGCAAGTTAGGCCCTTGCCCTCCCTCCCACCCTCCCTGCCATGTTATTATGCAGTGCAGGCCCTCACCAGATAGGCCCTCCATCCAAGACTTCACAGCCTTCAGAACCATGGGCCAAATAAACTTACATTTTTTGTAAACCACTCAGTCTGTTGCCTAAGACAAGCACTCAATAGGAAGATCCTGTCTACACCCTGCTTGACTTCTGTTCCAGAAAAGACCAAAGATGTGTGTCCACTGCACAGCTCATCAATAACACACTACATTTTAAAAAAATTTAGATGGACTATGGAAAAATCAACACTTTCATTTATAAAAGATGGTAGTTCCCTTATAGTTGCTTTCAATGTGAATTTCGATTTGCACTATTTCAACTTTTTCAAAACGAATTTCTCAAAATACAACCAAGGCTCCATATTAAGGTCACTTTCTGTCATCTCATACTTACAAAGTAATCAGTCAGTAGGAACTCTGATTTGTTTTCTGTAGATAAAACTGCAGTTTCTTCCATTAGAGCCTGGATATCTTTTTCAACATCAACCTTGCTGATGGCGCAGTGAATCTGTGTGTGACACTGCAATGCCAAGATAAACAAAAATGAAGTTGTTGGAGAAATGTTTCCTGCCAGTTTTACCAAACACACAAGAAAGGAAGAACTCCTCACTACTCACCGTGGTCAGGGTTTGGCCAAAAAGAGAAATATGTTGGCTGTACTGGTTTAAGTTGTTACATAAAAGTTGAATTCTTTCCTTTTCCAGCTCCAAGATGCTCTGAAGAAGATGGAAAATGAGGTAACAGCAACCATTTATTATACAAACCGAAGTCCTGAAGTCACACATCAAATGCAGACACATGTGAGAGAGCCTGAGCAAACTGTCATGATTTGCTTTTTTACTATGTCCTATCCAAACTGCAACAGAGGGAGATTTCCAGGAGAGAAATGTGACTTGGTGTCTGTCCCTGACATCACCCTCCTTTAAGATGAATTTAACTGACAAACTTTCCCTGAGACCTTTTGCCCACAAAAGGCACCTAGGCAGATGTTCACAAAGAAGGGGAAGAAAAAGAAAAAACAACACTTAAGAAGCATCTGTGGTTTTTTTCTAGAGAAGTATAGTGAAGTCCAGTCAAATCCATCTTCTTATTTCAGAGATGCATTTAGACACTAACTAGTTTGAGAATCATTTATAGTTCACACGAAGCATTCGGCTAGTCTCTGTAGGGCAAAGATGAGACACATCCTCAGTTTAAGGAGACTATTTGACAAGAGAAGAACCTTAAAGTCTTGTCAATTCATAATCCTGACCTAAAATTAGGCCTGGGGATCACAGTGCACTGCTTGAAGGTGGGAACATATCCTCCATATTTTGTGTGGGATGTCAAAAATTGTGGTTGTGCATTTCTGTAATCCCAGCTACTGAGGCAACAGAGGAAGGAGGATCAAAGTCCATGGTTGGCCCCTAGGCAAAAAATGCATGACCCTGTTTAAAAAATAACTGAAGCAGCAAGGGTTGGGGGCATGGCTCAAGTGGTGGTGCCACCTAGGAAGTGCGATGCCCTGAGTTTAAACTTTCATACCACCATCAACAAAAAATCCACAGCTAGACTTTTATGACTTATCTAGGAGAGTAAATAAGGAAGTAAAGGAAATGGGGAATGTCCCACTTTAATCATTTTAAGTATAGTTCACAGTTATTAAGAACAGTCACATGGTTGTGTCACCCTCACCAGCATTCATTGCTATAACCGTTCTCATCTTGTAAAACTGAAACTCTGTGTCCATGAAATTATGTTTCTTTTCTCTGCCTGCCCTTGACAGTGGTCATCCTACTTCTGTCTCTATGAATTTGACCGCTTGTAGGAATCTCAAAAAAGAGGAATCATGGTATTTGTCTTCTTGTCTCTGGATTATTTCACTTAGTATAATGTTTGCAAACTTCATTCATATAACAGCATGTGTCAGAATTTCCTTCTTTTTTGAGGCTGAATCATATTTCAATGTATGTATATGCCATATTTTGTTTATCGGTAAAAGTTGTTTTATCACTCCTTTGAGATGGAAGCAGTAAAAATCAGGCAATAACTGTGAATATCTATACTGCCACACGCAAATTTAGATTTGGTGCCAATGTCTTGACATTTGAATCAGAAGCCTGGAGCTGTGTGCTCCCCCACCCATGGCTACCTTCTTAGATGTGTTGGAAGTTACACAATTTTTGTAAGCTGGTGGGAGCCAAGTGCCTTTGTTTTTCTGTTACCAATCTCCTGAGTCTTTCTCCAAAATCACAGGCACTAGCCATTGGAATGGGACCAGTTGTCCTCTGGCTCCCAGATAAAGGATGAAAGACAAAGAAGAACAGTCTGTCAAAACTCATTGCTTCTTCAAAGAGCAGACTCAAAATGCCTCATAACAAATACATAAAACAAATTCTGCTCATTTGTTTGGAGCTCAAATAAGACAATCCTCAAAACAGAAAAATATCCTTACACTGTAGAAAAAGATCTAGAAGTCAGTCCAGCTGCTGAGGGCAGGAGAGAACATCAAAGCTAGGTTTTAGAGCACATTGCATCCCTGGTGGCAGCTGTTTCTTTACTTTGACACATGCAGAAAGACCCACTAGCATCAATCTGAGACCAGAATCGCCCATGTCCTTGGGTGGAGATGGCACTGGTTAACAGATTTTAATTGCATTTCAGGGAAATCATTAAAATGACCTATGTTTGCTCACAAAAAGAGGCAGAAATGCACAAAGGGGAACTCTATATCTCATTTAATGAGTTATTGCATTCTGTTATCTCATGTTTGTGTATAAAATGGGTGACTGAGAGACAAGATACTCTGGAGATTGACTTTTTTTTGCTTTTACAATGGCACATGCAAGCCTCGTGTGGCCAGAGGGTTATCAAGAGACAGTGAGGCGGGGGCATCATGATAACTCATGCGCTTCATTCATCCTTTTCAGTTTCTGCTGTTCCAGTCTCGAGTCAGTACTAAAGTTGGAGCCTGGAGGGACCGTGTTTCATTCAAACTGACTTCATACAACTGACAAAAGAAATACCACGCTTTTTCTAGAGCAGGGACTCTCAAACTGTAAAATGCTTAGGAGTCACCTAGACTCTTCAGAAAATCACTTGGAGGTTCTGAGTCACTAATCTGGGGAGATGCTCAGGAACCTAAATATGAACACCACCTCAGGTGCTTGAGACTTTATCCTACGACCTCAAAGGGCCACAAAGGAGTGCGTTCTATAATCATTCCCAAGTCACTGTCACCAGAGTGACCAGTGTTAACATTCTAATGCATTTCAGTCTGGTTAGGCATGTAGGTATGTATGAGTTTATCTTCTAGTTACCTATTCTGGTGTGTGTGTGTGCGTGTGTGTGTGTGTGTGTGTGTGTGTGTGTGTGACTTAACCTCACCCATGAGCAGTTCCCCAAGCCATCAGTGTCCAAAAACACCACTTTAATTACTTCACAATAGCCCATGTGTAGGTGTGCCTTGATTCGTTTTGTCATCCCTTTAATGCTGGCCATTTGAGTTGTTTCCTCCCTTTTACTTTAAATGTATTTCAAGCAGAAATCTGTCTTGATTTCATCTATTTTCTCATCAAAGATTTATAGAAAGGGAATTACCTTTTCCAATGGGGAGTCCTAGGAGAGAATTAAGTTCAAATATCAAAAGCATTCTATGTATCGTTATGTGCTGTATAACGACTTTTGGGTTAATGTAGACCAACTATAAAGTGGATTCATGAGATTACATGGAGCTGAAAAAATTCCTGCTACCCACTGACATCACAGCCATCACAACATCACAGCACAACACATTATTCACATGTCAGTGGTGATGCTGGTGTCAAGAAACCCACCACACTGAGGTTGAAAACCAGTACAGCAACACAGTTGTGTACGGTGCAAATGCTTACTAGTTATAATAAACAGCTGTTACTGGTTTATGTGCTTATTATACTACACTTTTCATCAATATTGGAGAGTGTACTCCTACTTGCAAAAAGAATTTACCACAAAACAGAGTGTGTGTTAAACTAGCAGCAGCCTCATACATTTCATGTGTGCCTGTCTTTTGACTGCATCAAGAAGCCCCATGGAGTGATGGTCCACCCCGCTTTATTTTATGTAAACGCACTCCATGGTTGGCCACACAACAATGCAATTGCCTAATGATGCAGTTCTCAGAATGCCTTCCTGTCGTTAAGTAACGTATGATAGAAATGAATGTCCATCCTCTGCATCTATGGCAGTCCTAGATGAGTACCATGGCTCAGAAGAACTAAGAAAACAGTGACTCAAATCGTTTATGTCTTCTCTCATTCAAGAGGCACATGGTTGCTAACAGGAAAATTTTAAAGGCTCTTGACACATATTGCAAACGGTTTTCTAAGATAATTCCTTAATAATAATTATTATTAATACCAAGCATTTGATTCTTAGTGATTCTTGATAGTGTAGCTATTTTAAAATATATAGATTATTTCTATCAATCAAATAGTTTCTTCTTGGTAGACAGGAAATGTGGCTAGAACATAGTATGATTATGAAGTAATAAGACTAATTTTGACATCTGGTTTGTGTAATTGGTTTCAATACTTAAAAACCACACTTGTGACTTTATATTTCTCACAGTAGCTTGTAAACTGCCTTGAACATAGTTCAATAAGTGGTCTCTTAAAGAATTTGTAAATGCAACCTATAGAGTAAGAAGGGACAAGAGGACACTATAGATCTGTAGAACAAATTCTCATATTCAGTTTTTACAGAAGGATGGTAAGAACAGACAAAAATGGAACTGAGAGACCCTCATTGTTCCTTATTCACATAATAAAATTCTCCATAACGAATTCAGTGTGCTTTTGTTACACATCTTCTCGAACATTTTATCCTTTAGCTTGTAAACATATAAAAGGTATAGAATGCATAGAGTAATTTGTGAGTCAGTGGCTTGTTGAAATAGACTATAAATACAGGCCAAGGAAAAGCAAAGTAAGGGCATCATTATGGGAGCTTAGTGTGGAGCAAGGATGACCTCACAGGTTGTCTCTAGTTGGGTCCAATGGACTTGAGCTTGTACACAAGAAGCAGAAGGCAGCTCAAAGGAAGGTGGGGTAAGAGGAGCTGTGTCCATAAAATAGGAGTGGGAGTGAGATACTGATGGCCTCCAGCACAGCGGTAGCAAAAATCCAGGACTCATGAGGGTGAAAGCAAACCCTACTCTTCCTCAAGGAGATTATGACTTTGAATAGGTACTCCTCCGTGTGACTTGGATTCTAATGAAACAACAGCAACAGCATCGATAACCAATAAGCTGAAGTTGAAAGGAAATCGTTTTGAAATGTAAATGAATGCATAGCTTGTCACCATCATCATGACTTTGCAAGGAAAGAAGATACTTTACATGATGCATAAATATAAAAACTAGGACTACTGAGAGAAGGGAGAAAAGAAGAAATAGAAGGATTTTAACGGGAGAAGAGGAACCTGAGACAAAGGAAAGAGAGACCGAGGAAGAGCTTCTGATAATGGGGATAGTGCAAGCGATGCTCAACACATACAGAAGGCTAGTTAAAAGTCAGCTATACCAGCTGAGAACCATTACTGTTGCCCATTCTTGTGACATAGGTACAAGGGTGATGGGGGCTACAGCTGTTTAAGTTTACATATTTTTCTCATAGCCCTTGAAGAGTACCTGGAAGATGGAGTGAGAACAATAATTTCTCCATCCTCTCCCAATATAGAAGCCGGTCTTTGTGGAAAGCTATAGCTTCATTGGGAAGTCCTGGGAGGCAAGGCAAGGTTAGAGCCCAGGTCAGAAAGCCCGACTTCAAATGGATAAAGTTGGAATTTAATCACGGGCTTTCCTCATCATCTGCCTCTAAAACTTATTCAACAAAAGCAAGAGCTTGCCAGGATTCGATGTCCAAAGGTATGAATTAAAAAAGGTTTTATTCTCATTTTTTCTCCTCTTTAAAAAGTTCATATCTACTTCTTCTCTAACTCTGCATTCATCTTACCCTGAAAGTGGTTGAACTGCAAGAGATTGAAATATAGTCCTTCAGTTCCTGCTTGTCTATAGCTTTCCCTTTCCAGTTCTTGTGGGGGAGGATATAGCACAGAGGCCCAGCTTGAATCTCAAAACCATCTGAGGTACCTTTCCAGTCTCAATTTCCTCAACTATAAATTAGGAAATAGTATTATTACCTTCCTCACAATTTTGTGATGGGAACACACTATAATGCATGTGAGCACACTTAGTGCAGCGCCTGAACACACCAAGCAGCACACTTTCTACAAGCTAGCCATTAGCTCACTTCCTTTTCCAACTGTAGCTGCTTTAGCCTTAAAAAAAAAAAAAACTGAACACACGGAAAACATAAAACAAAAATATTCTTGTTTTTTATCATCCAGAGTAGAAAATTAATTAATATGGTCATATTTATGTTGACTTAAAAATAGAGAGCTAAGCTATTCATATTCAGTTGAAGTAACTTCTGCTCCTGTTGGTTTGTATTGGTTCACCAGGGGCCACCCACAGCTGAATGGCTATATACAACACATAACGAGCTCCATTCCCCCTACCAAACAAAGATCTAGGCACCATACATGTGTTTATAAACACATACGTATCAACTCAGCATAGTATGGATGTAAATCTAATTTTTTAAAAAATCTACACTGATTGTATAAATGGCCTATTTCTTTTCAATATCATACTTTTGAGGTTAATTCATATTTAAATATTGTTTTAACTAACTTTTTATTATTAGATATCAATTAACTCTCAAGTTAAGGCACATTTTAAGAGTGCTCTGTTGATGGGTATGAAGAGTGTGTATAATTTTTTCTCATCATGCAGTCATAAATAATTCTATAATAACCATCATTCTTGTGCATCACTCTTGAAGAAGTGTGTTTTTTCAGGATATATGACTAAAAGGGGACCTGCCATGTTGTGGCACAGGCACAATTAGTTTTACTAGATCCCATTAAATTATTCTGATGGAAGGATACAGAGTTCTTGTTTTCTAACCTACTTGCCAATAGAAACTATCACATCTTAATTTTGCTGATTGTTTTCTCACATGTTTAATGGCGATTTTGATTTTCCCTTTTATGACTTGCTCATTCACATCTTTTGCCTATGTTTGTCAGAAAATTTGCCACAATAAATTTTTTGTGTTTTTGTTACTAAGATGCACATTTAAAGCATTCAGGTAGTACTTTATTCACCACTATCTGTCTGGTGTCCAGCACAAGTCCTGACAGAAAAGAGTTCCATAAGTGATCACTGTTTGGGTCAGCTCTCATACCTAAAACTCATTTTTGAGTACCAACACCTAAGCCCTAATTTGCATTTTACTTTGATAGCACTGCTTAGAAGTTAGCTAAGTGCTGTTGTGTCCATTGAGAATTAGGAGTAGAAATTTGTGTTAATGTTACTCAATAAATTTTCATTGGTAATTGCATCCATGGAGAAATGGAAATGAGAGGAATGTGGTTTGTCTACAGTCACAATAGAAGTAGTGATCATAGCTAAGTCAGAAATCAGGTCTTGTAACTGTTGATCTGACCTGTATTTCCACAATCACACAAAGCTCCATGGAAAAAGAAAAATGTGAATGCATAACTTACCTTGTAGCAGTTTTCTAGTGTGTTTTCCCATTTTATTCTAGTAGAATAGCCTGCCATGTTTTTTTGGTAGTAGTTTTCATCTTCCTTTTGTAACTTCTCAGTTGATTTTTTGAGTTTATTGAGGAGCTAAAGTAAAACATCACTGTCACACATTCATTCATTGATGAACACCGCTTGTAATTCCACAGAAAGAACTGTAGGTGGCCCAATGATATGTTTCTTATCTCTCAGCTCTTTTTTATAAAGAGTAACCATAGAGGACAAAACCAAAGATCTTTTTCAGAAAAAATTGATGACAGAACCAGAAGGAAACCTAAGGTCCTTTCACACATGAAGAAATTGAGGTCTTATTAGGAAGTGATTTTCCACATTAATCAAGTCAAGGAGAAAGCCAAACAACAATGCATTTGAGAATCAACAACACAGGTCAAGGATCTTCAACTTACACTGCAATCTGCAAATACTTCTTATAGCCTTAATTAGTAAATTGTTTAGGTACCTGAATTTCTTACCAAGACAGGTAGAACTTGTAAATCAAGTAACTTGCTATAATTATATCATTTTTAGGATCATAAAATTTTTAGAACTAATTTTAAAAATAGATCTGGCCACCATCTTGCCTTGCCATCTTAAAGTCAGAAGTAGAGCTTTGGAATCAGACCTCCAGGATTAGAAGCCTGATTGTGGCTGCCAGACAAGTTACTTAACCCTGGTGAGCCACAGCTTTCTCATCTGTCTCTGGGGAAAATGATCACTCCTACTTCACTGGACTTCTCTGCTTGAGGATTCAAGCAGATAACGCAAGGTACGTGTTGTACTGTGACACCTAGCACAGCACTCAAGATTAGTAACTATAATTATTCCAAGTGAAAAGCCCAAGACGTGTGTCCATGTTCACTGCATGTTATGGACAGCTAATGAAAAGGTTAGGGACAGATGGTTTCTTCCCATCCTGCTCCCCAGTGATCTACCCCTCAAAAGAGTTCCGTTTTACCAACCCCCAAAATTTGCCATTCTGATTATTAAATCTTGAGGAAAATCATAGTAAAACAAAACTGCCTGAACTGTAGAGGATGAAGTGGATGCTCAAAATGCTCAGACAAGTAATTTCCTGTCTCTGAGAAACAGAAAGATGGATTGCATGAGTGATTCTCAAACTTCAGTATGCCTAGGAACCACCTGGGATGTTTGTAAAATAGCAACATCTGGGTCCCCATGAGATTCAGTAGCTCTATAGTGAAACTGGGAAATTGGAAGTTTTCACTCCCTTCTCAGATGAGTCTCCTGCAAATGGTCCTCAAGCCATACTTTAAGGAATTTCAAGACACCCTTGCCTGTTTTTGTTTTTGGGTTTTTTTTTTAACAGTTTAAGAGTTTCAAGGACAGAGACAAAGACTTTTAAGAATGACCCTCTTTATGTTTAAGGACAGTTTGGCTAATGTTATAATGAAGACCATTTGTCCAAAATGTTGATTACTAGTACAACTCACTTTTTATTATTCCTATGAATGTGCTAGTGATTCAATTGTCCCTCAGTGTGATGTTTGGCATTCATAGGGCAGATTTGGTTTTGAATTTCACGTGTAATGAACCACATCTATCTGTGGAATCAAATAAGCTTGTGAATTTTAACCAGATAACAATATAGTGAAAGGGTCCAGGAGGGCCTGGGCTGTACTTTGCTAAGTTATTGTCTTCAGATTTTTGTTTGTTTGCTTGTTTTGTTGTTTTTTGAGATAGGGTTTTGCTATGTAGTCAGGATGGCCTTGAATGCTTGTTCCTCTTGCCTCAGATTCTTGAGTGCTGGGATTATAGGCATGCACCACCTCACTGTCTTGTCTTTAGATTCCCAGTGACAATGCTCAGCCGCCAAGTCACTTTTGAGACCACCACTCACATTTGTCAGGCAGCACTAGAACTACTGACCACAAATTTCTGCACAGCAAACTCACAGGAAATAGCTCCAAGTAGATACAAGAGATGAATACAGACTCCTGTATTTTCATTTGAGAAAGCTCCTTTACTAAAATTTGTCAAGATTAAATCCTTTTTTCTTCTCTTTTCTTTCTCTTGTGAGAAACATCTCATTCATTTATTCACCCAACTCTTATTGAGTGCCTACAATGAGTCATGGGCCAAGCTTTGGGAATAGAAAAGAAAATAAGATGGTTCCTTCTCTATCCGGGGCAGCACAAAGGCTTTGCCATCTTGTGTGATAGGTCCCAGGGATGTCAGATGACGGAAGTGTTTGTATGCCCCTGGGGCATCAAGAGAGGTACCTAAACAGTCTTGGAATTAAAATGATATTTAAGCTGTGACTTTCATGTAGTAGGTATTGAAAAAAAAATTCCTATATGAATAAACCTCAAATGAAAATAGGAATTGTTGAGGAAAAATAGTATGGCATGATAAAGAAAAAAATTGGGAAATTAAAGCACACAGAAAGGCAAAATAATGAGAGGATGCTGAAGTGGTAGGAAGGGTCCAGTCAGGGAGAGTCTTAGTGGCCACCTCAGGGCCACGAAGGCTTTCCACTGAAAATGGAAGGTGCACACCTGTAATCGTAGCTACTCAGGAAATAGAGATTGGGAGGATCGAGGTTTGAGGCTAGCCTAAGGGGAAAAAAGGTTGTGAAACCCCATCTCAACCAATAAAAAGCTGGGCAGGTGGAGAACACCTGTCATCACAGCTACATCTCAGCCCCCTAACAATGAGAAAGTGTAAATAGAAGGATTTCTGTCCAGTACAGACAGGCATAAAAAATAAGTAAAGCAGAAAGGGTTGACAGTGTGGTCCACAAGGTAGGGCACCTGCCTTGTAAGTGAGAAACCCTGAGTTCAAGTTCTAGTACTGCCACACACAAAAAAAGGAAAATGATGTGCTTATATTTGAATTTGAGAAAAGCCAGCTTGCCTTGTATGTGGTCAATAGATAGGGAGAGGCAGCATTGAAGTCAAAGAGACCAATTGTTAGCTGCAGTTACTCAGGTGAACAATGCCGGAGGGCTGCAAGAGACAGCTGCGGCAACAGGGAGACAGTTCAAGAAGTATTGGACAAGGGTTAGAACTGGGAGGCTATGGCAGGTGGTGACAAATTTCTAGAAAACACAGGAATAAAAAGACCTTTGACAAGGGAGAAGTGATGGCTTTGATTTTGGATGTTGACTTTGAAGTGCCAAAAGCAGTTACAGATGGGTTTGAGCTGGACATACAAATTTGGATATTTTCAGCATAGATATGGCAGTTGAATTTGAGAGTATAATCATTGAGTATCTATTATTTAATGATTACCTGACATTCAGAGTAGATGTTGGATGCTGAAGATAAGATGAATTAAACAGAGAAGTCTAGAAGAGATTCTTCAGGAACAGCAATATCTAAAGGTCAGGCAGAGAAAGGGCAGTCCAACAAGGAGCCCAAGATAACATTTCCAGAGAGGTAGGAGGAAAACTAAGACTGCAAGCTTGCTAAAGGAAGAGAATGTTTCTAGAAGGGGAATTAAACAATATACAATGCTTCCAAGAGACTCAATAAGGTAAGAAGTGGAAAGCTCTTTCACAACAGGACACTGTTTTCAGTGGCAAGAACAAGCCAAGTTTCCAGAATGGTGGGGAAAGTTTGGTTAGGGTGGCTCAATAAGTGAACATAGTATGAGGAAGTGAAGACAGAGCACAGACAACCCTTTCAATAAATCTTATTGCAGAAAGAAGAGAGAATGATAGAGGAGTGGGAAGAGGGCCATGAAAAGTTGTATCTGGTTCCTTCTCCTCTCCCAAAATAGGAGTACAATGAACTGAATGCTTGTGTGCCTCCAAAATGCACATGTTGAAATTCTAAGCCACTAGATGATGGTGTCAGGAGGTGGGGTCTTTGGGAGGGGTTAGGTCTTGAGAGTAGAGATCTCATGAATAGAGTTAGCGTCCTCATACAAGGAACTGTTGTGAGGCTGTAACAAGAAGTTCTGCAGCCTGGGGGAGGGCCCTCACCAGAATCTGACCTTGCTGGCGACCTGACGTTGAACTTCTGGCCTTCAGGGTTATGAGGAACAGATGCCTGCGGCTCTGGCCACCCAGGCTGTGGTAATTACTTATAGCAGCCCAACAGACTAAGATGGGGGTGAGCGCTGAGAAGACTGAGGAGCATTGCAGAGGGGACATCCAAGACACAAGAGAGAAGGGGAATCAGTGGAGGGTCTGTGAGAGATAGGATGGGATGCACTGGGAGCACAGCTGGATGACGAACTGGGCTTTACTTGCAAGTATGCAGATGCAATTACTTGAGCAGGTAGGTGTCTGCACTGACTTCTGTTTATTCTGTGAGGTGGGAAGCAGGAAAGTCTGCTGGGAGTGGGTGGTGAGGACCAAGATGGGAAGAGAATGGAGATTTAGATCAGCTTCTGGTAAGAACAAGGACTGCTGAGCAGGGAAACAGGAAGAATTGCTGAGCAGCACAGAGGAACGGCTCAGGCTGAAGACATGGGCGCTTCTGTGTGGATGAGATGGGAATACAGCTTCAGGTGTTCAGCTTTTGGACTAAAAACCATCTACAAATGAAACAGTGAAGATGGTGAGGGGTAGTCTTGAAGTGACCCTAGGCAAAGGTCATGGTTGCAGAAGGGCAGGGAGGTCTGTGGACTTCCACCTCCCAGGGACACTGCTAAGGAAGGAAGAGGAAATTCACCCCTCAGCTGTGCAAGCTTTTCCTTTGTTACTTCTTGACATCAATGAAGGATGGCTTTTATTGAGGGCTCAGAATGCCCAGGACAGGGCCTGGCGCTGCTTTCACATGATGTGGGTCTGTCTCCTTAGAGGCTGCTCATTATCCCACTTGTTATGATCGCTTCAAGCTGTGAAGACTGACAGGAAGAAATCAGAACCTTGTATAATCTTCCTAACAAGGAATTCAAGTTATTCATCTAATCGTTTCTTTCAGATGAAATGATAGAGCCATTTGTAATGACAATTTTCCTTTCCTTCTGAGGATGATTGGACTGCAGTGGTTCTGGCTATGTTTCCTTAGGGGGACTCTATCTTTTGGGGAAGGTGCTGAGTACTTCAAAGCTTTCCAGTCTGGAACATATACCACAAGAGGTGTGCGAGATGACCTTCTAGGGGTGTAGGCAGAAAGTACTTGATATTACTCCTGCACCTCAGTATTATTTGTGTTCATTTTGCCTCAGAACACAGTTATCAAGCGTACTTAATACATGAATGGGCATTGGTGGCACACACGGACAGCTATGAAGTGATCCAAGGATGTAGGAGTTCTGTAACATGAGAAACTGCCATGAGTCCTCACAAGGGTTTGCATCCAGCATCCTGGGGACATGTGGCCATTGATATGTGCCTGGATCATGTGGATTTATAGATGCCTTAGCTAACTTTAATTAGGTTAATTTATACAAAGCACACAAATGTCTTAAAAAGATTTCTGCCAGGAGCCTGTGGATTGATGTTGCTATAAACGATGCAAACACAAAGAAGCAAAAGCCTCCGAGTGGATGCTCACTTCTGCTTCTGGTTTTAAGCACATCACTGCTCACGTGATAGAGCAAAAGCTGCATGATTTAGTGAGATCTCACAAGAACTTGATGGAAGATTTAATTACTTAACATCTAAAAAATTAAAATTGTCAAGAGGACTGTTATAAATATGAATTTATATTTACTAAAGTTAAGTCTAAACTTGCCCCCAGGGCATACTTTGCTTATACACTTACTTAATGATCATTTATTAGTGATTACATAAAACATTGTGATTTCCTAACCATTATAAATATTATTTTATCTTTACCTCATCCTGCAAACATTACACACACACACACACACACACACACACACACACAGTACTGGGGATTAAAAAAAAAAGTAAGTCTAGGGCCTTGTGACCACTAGCTGCATCCCCATCTCCTGTATATTTTATAATGTTCATAGCATATCAGTATAATACTTTATATAATATATATAAAGTACATATATATATTTCTTGAGGTGTGAGCTGAGTTTTTTTTATTAATAAGGTTCTCTACCAAAAACATGGGCACCATTGGTGTAATATGTCATGTCAATGATACATTTTAAAGATATATGTGGACCAGGAATGACGTGAAATCTGTCTCATTCCCTGCCAATCTACAGCTCTGCAGAGACCCCACAGAGACCCCACAGAGACGCCCACAGAAAGAGTAAGAAGCCATGTCCAAGGCATGCTCACCTGGCTGCCATGACAACTTACCTTTTGCTTCTCCTTCTTGGTCACAGATTGCTTAGAACTTTCTACAAGATGGAAAAGTGCTTCATGCTTCTTGGTACTCACCATTAATTTTTTCTTAGCCTACAGTAAAATACATACAAACAACAAAAATAAAAGTGCAGAAATTGATATCAAAAGCAAAGCTCTTCTGTGTTGAAACTAGGCCAATGCATGTGCTAGCTTGCATGGTTGCATATTTTTAGTTCTTCATTCCCTCTCTACCTCAAAATCTGCCTAAAATACCACAGCTGCAAACATCATTATGTATTTTGTCATTATATTGGATAATCTCAATTCATTAAATCACTGAAGGCCTGCAAGCCTCCAAAACATTCTGGCTCACACAATGGGTCACACACACACACACACACAAAACACAACAAATACGGAAGATAGTCTACATTACTCTTTTAAATCAACCTGGGCCAAGTTGGAGTTGCTTAAAAATGTGCACTCAACAATTCAGCAGGGGTGGAAATCTTTCTCCTGGTGTCCAGGGTTGAGAGCTTGGGGTTTGCCTGGCATCTTGTGGAACACTTTGCATTTGTTGGAGGGAGTGAGAGAAGGAGCAGGAAAGGGATAGGAGATCCCTTCGAATCTCGGTGTGGGTTGTGATTCAGAGGATCATTCTACACAGGTGAATTTGGCTGAATGATGATGCACCATAAGTAAAATATGCAGATTTGGGATTAAGTCGGATTCAGTCTACTCAGGAACTAGGTTGATTGAAGAACTGGCTTTTTACCTCAAGATTTCAAGGGCTATAAAACTGTTCAATGAAAGACGAAAGCTCAGGTCTCTTTTTCTTTGGGATTTTACCTTGAGAATTCCCTGCAAAAGAGAGTTCAGAAAACAAGCAGCTCACAGCCCTCTCCTCCACCCTCAGTCAGTGACATGCTGCTGATAAGGGACGCTGTGAGGTGAGACCACTTGGTCCTATAAGGCTTTGCATTTGGGTCTACAAAATAGACTATTGCATTGTCCACACACTGAACCCCTTGAATTGTAACTGAGGAGAAAATTGTTATAGCACAAGAATTTTATATTTTCTAATTTCTCTCTCACTTCATAAAAAATCAAATCTTTTTATTTAGCAAAATGACTTGGCCAACACTGATAAACAACAAAAGGTGGTTTTGTTCTCAGAAACATTTGTAGCTTCAGAGCACTGTTTCTAGCTTTGGATCTACTGTATTGGATTTCCTGTGAAAGCTGAATATGTAAAATAATTAGCTTTTTTTTTTTTAAGAATAAAGCAAATTCTTTTTAAGAAAACTCAGAAAATTAGGAGTAAAATTAAAAACAAATGACTGGATACTTCTCTGGGACTTAAAAATATGTATTATAGCAGTGACTCTAATAAACCTCCTTATTAGAGTCCTTGCAACTCTATGGCAATGGAAATTCATTTATCTCAAACACTTCTTATTAATGTCCTTGGTTGATGGAGTCCACAGTTTCAACAGAAGCTTCAGAAACAACCCTGAAGCCACCTGTTTCTCAGAACATGTGAACATATGTGTGCTGTGAAAAAGCTTCAGTCCTAAAAACTGAATTTATACCAAGGATATCTGTTTGTGGGTACTTGCCTTAATTTGTTGATTCCAGTTGTTAATAACAAGACTTGCGGTCTTTTCAACTTCATTATCAAGCTATTGAAGAGAAAATGGGGGAAAACAAACACGTTTTGCTTTCTTGTTTAATCACTGCTAGTACTAAATATTTCTCTCCAAACTCATAGTTAGAAATCTATTTCCTCAATGTGGTGGAATGTGGAGGTGGGGACTTTGAGATGTGATTAGGTCATAAGGATAGCATGCTTGAGTTGGCAACCTTAGGAAAGAGGGCCAAAGCGCTGCCTTGCTCCTTGTACTTCTGAGAACACAGCAAGATGGCTGCCTATGAACAAGGAAGTGAGGCCTCATCAGACACTGAATCTGTGGTGGCTTGGTCTTAGATTTTGCAGCCTCCAAAACTGTGAGAAATAGATTTCTGTTATTTCTAAGTCACCTACTCTTCTGGCATTTTGTTAGAGCAATCTGAACTAAGATAATTGTAGTGTTGGGTTATTAGTTCTGACACAATCACTCTCACAATTCATTAGAGTTTCAAAATCTACAACAGACATACATCTTGAGGAAAATAGTCATACTGTCTTAACTCCATGTCAAGTGTCTCTTGACAGGATTTGGCAAAATAGTGATTTCTAATGATGTGAGAAACACAGAGATGTGTGCAACTGTGTGGAGGAGGCCCTTGCAGAGGCCAGATCACTGCTGGTCCTCTTACCTCCTCTTCAGTATCAATTCATGGCAAAAACACCTGTACCATGAGAATCTGTAACAACACTTGCAGTGCTAATTTTCTGAATGTTTTCATTGTCCCTGGTGTGACAATTTTTTAGTTTCAAAGCAATATAATTCTTAATCATAAGCAACTTTTTAAAGAAAGGGCAGAAATAATAACCATGAAAGTGGATCTAGGCAAAATCCCTGAAATAGAAGTTAGGACAGAGCCTTTTTTCCTGGATCACGGACTCAGTGGATTAGACATTATTCAACTATTCTGAGATCTAGCAAACATGCTACTTTTATTTTTCCCAGTTGGTTAAATGTGGAGTTCATGGTTTAGTTTATAATGAAAGTAATGTTATACACTCTGCCACTTTCAACTATATGAGTGTGGCTGGAATGTGGAAAAAGTTTACTTTTAAAAATAAAATCTAATCCTTTATCTTTCGTGTGAGAGTAGGGCTGGAAGGTGGGGTGCAGGGGTTGTAATGCCGAAAAAATTAACAGGAATAGTAGATTGGGGCGGGTCAAGATATCAACTGTCTAAAGCCCTGTGATTAATTGTCATAGCACTGTGCTACATTTATCCTAAGTATTAAAGAAATGTAATTCTATTATTATGTGGTATGAAAAATCTTTTGTAATTAAATGGTCAGTCAGTGTCTGGTTTTTAAAAATCTGTTTGGCAAAGGCAGATGGTTGCACATGGCTTTCTGCAATTTCATGTACATTTGCACCCATCACACTGGCACCAGAGAGCACAGCATCCCCTGTGGGGAAGCTCGTGAATGTGCACACAGACATCAATTCCTCTTCCTGCCTTAGTTTAGTGAGCTTGCATTTAAAATTGTTTTTGAATCATTTCTCTTCCATCAGAGCTTTCCCAAATCCCCTCATCCTTCTGACTTACAACCCACCTGAAACTCCCTTGTAGGGACAGCCCTTCAAGGACCACCCACTCAGGCTCAGGCCCCTCTTACCTCACTGCCCCTGAAACAAAGGAACTCCAACCCAGCCCAGCAGACACAGAGCGCTGGTTAAACACCATCAACATTGCTTGGCCACACTGTCTAAAGTTCACAACAACTGTGTGACTCACAAAAGAAAAGAAAGAGGAGCATCAAAGTGTTGTGGAAGGAAAGGCACAGGGAAGAAAGGGGGAGATGCTGCAGCAGGACAAGTGCCCTGAGGGAATTAAGAACCATTTTAAAAAATTTTAAGAATATTTGAGGGTCTTGTCTATTGTTACCTTTACATAATCACAAACCAATATGCATAGAAAAGCATCTTTTTAAAGAAATTGTGCTCATAATTCTTCTATTTATAAAAAGAATTAAAAATTTTTAAAAACCATTAAAAAGTACAAAAAATGAAATAAAAATAACCTCTAATTTCATCATCTTAAAGTAATTCTTATTAACATTTTATCAAAGTTCTTTTGGTCTTTGTCTATGCATGTATACACATATTTATTTTATAAAGTTGAGATTATTAGATTTTCATCTGCCTTTTTATTTAACACTGTATTGTGAAAAAAAAACTCCATGTGATCGATTCTTCTGTAAGATATTTTTGTTTGTTTTGTGGTGCTAGGGATTCAGGGCCTCATACATGCTAGGTGAGCACTCTACCACTGAGCTATGTCCCTTGCACTCCTATAATAAGATTTTTGATTGTTGCATAGTATTCTATTACTTAGCTTCATCATAATTTATTTTTGAATGAATTAGTTGCTCCTTTTTTTTTTTTTCTAAAATAGGGTTTCACTGTGTCATTCGGGCTGGTCTTGAACCCTGAATCCTCCTGCCTCAGCCTCCTGAGTGCTGAGATTACAGGAATGTACCTCTACACCTGGCTCACTTTTTCACTTCTATAAACAGTGCTCTTATAAATGTCTCAGATGTGCGTTTTTGATTGGTTTTATAATAAATTTCTTAGACATTGTGTCACTTTCATATCACTCTTCCTCTGTGAATGACAGTCACTTTGACTCACTGATTTTTTCTTCTTCTCTTGCAGATTCAGGACTTGATGAGTTGGTTTTATTGCTTCCAACTCAATTGCTTTGCCAAGTTTCCTGGAAATAGAACATGAAGGCACATAATCATTGTCCTAGGGTTTATAGCTATCTTCCAAATTACTTTCTGGGAAAACGAAATGGTGTATAGCATATCTACTCAGTGCAAGTTTAAGGTGGAATATTGTACCCCACCCACTTTAAATATCTACGATGCCCTTTGGGGTTGGAGTAAGGCCAGATTGGGACTGGTAGCACTCACTGATGCAGTTCTGCAGCAGACTTCATGCCTTCTGAGGCCCAGGCCCAGGCACTGCTGAGACAGCTAGAGACAAAAACAGGGGGACACAAGGGCAGGTGTCATTTTCACAGTGTGCCCTGAGCTATGAAGCACTGCAATCAGCATTGCACTCATTTCTCTAACCGTAGTTCAGTTCTCCCTGAGACTAAATTCTGCCAATACATTCTTTGCATCAGGGACATTACGTACACTGCTTTTTTTCCCCTGTCATTTTTCATTCTGATTTTCCTTGTTTGTTTCGTGTCTGTAGGAAATCAGAGAACTAGAATAACCAAGGATAGGTGACAGGGTTTGAGGTTAGATAGCCCTCAGAGACAATCTCAAGTGCCTCACTTTGCAGATAAGTGAAGTGAGTTTTGGAAATGAGACAGAGGACTGGAGTTCAAGTCACATCCTGCTTGTTGCTCTTGGGATTGGGGTCCAGCTCTTGCTCTCTACTGGCCCTTAGGACAACTGCTTAGATCTCTTAGGGTCCTGGGAGCTGTTTCCAAGAAATACAAAGGGCAGCACTGCTGAGTCCATGGAGGCACAGCAGGAGGAGTAGGAATTGTGATGTTATCTTCTCCCTCCAAAGGACCCAGTTCCCAGGGGTCCATTTAGGTGGCTTTGGAAGTCAGGACAATGAGCCCAACTTTGTTAATCAGCCTCAGGGACAGAAGTCCTGATAGAGACAGGGGAAGGAACTGCACCCTGACAAAGTCAGAAGGATGCAGAGGTTTTGTCTCCATGTCTGAGATTGCTCCCTGCAGCAGGAGGATGGGGGACAAGACCAAGGGACGTCAGATTTAATACACATCCAAACCCAGGCACTAAGCCAGGAACAAGAGAGCACCTACTGAGTACTTCCAATGATCGGAAATTCCAGAAAAGACAAAACTCATCTGTTTTGACAGGTCGCTGATTGTTTGCAGCTGGCCAGGGAAGGAATGCAAACAGGCATAACAGTGTTTGGACATGTTTACGAGGTGTGCACATCAATCAAAATGGACCAAAACATACACTTAAATGAGTCCCCATCTGTGACCTCCCAGGGATTGTTGTAAGGATTAAGTAGACCATCTGCAAAGCATTTAACACACTATCTGGAAAATAGTAAGTGCCCAAGACGTGGAAGCCATGCTTGGCAGTAAGTACTTGCTACATGTATAAGAGGAAGCTGAAACTGAACATTTGTCACTTTTAATCATTTTTAAGAATGATTTTGCCTTACCTCTGCCATAGTACTTACTTTTTCTTTGTGCTCTGTAATGCTTTGTTCAGTTTGACTGCCAGTTTCTGAAGTCCTTTGGCATAGCTAATCTCCAGGTTGGCCCTGTTAGCAAAGGGCTAGTTGTTAAATAGGATACGCTGGTTAGAAGTCAGCAGAGCCATATATTTATACGTGTGACGGAGGGTCAGTCTCAAAATGTAACGTCTTCATAAAGAGGAGATGACTTGTTTACTATATGGATCCTACTGTCTGAGCAAACCTGGAAAGCCAGAAGAATATGGAAGGGGATCCTACAAAGGGAAAGTATTTTATTTAACTTTCTTCCACACCAGTGTTATGGGTGGAATTGTGTCTGCTAAAAAGTGTTGATACCCTGACCCCAGCACTTGTGAATTTGAGGAAGTAGGGTCTTTGAAGATGATGATGGAGTTAAGATGAGTTAGGGTTCACCAAACCCAATACTGATGTGTTTTCATGAAGGGATGGGGGGGCAATGGGACAAAGACATACATATACACAGACAGAATGTGACCACGAAGGCAGAGAGATTGGGATGACACGTCTATAAGCCAAGGGATGCCAAAGGTGCATTAATGAGTTGAACTTTTGCTGTTGTGATGATGGTGCAGTTCTGGGGATTGAACTCAAGGTCTCAAGCTTGCCAGGAAGATGCTCTACCACTTTTAGCCACACCCCCCAGGCCCAGCGCTATTCAGATTAGCTCCAGATTATACTGTCTGGCAGTTAAATGATAAGTGATGATTGAACTAACCAACCAGCAGTGTTAAAGTGATCTTCCTTTCTCAGCCTCCCAAGTAGGCCAAATTCAGGTTTAAAAAAACCAAACTTCCACTACTTTCTATGCAGGACAAGACTCAGCAGGACATCTGGGCATGCCTTCCAAAAGCAACCTTCTTGACTCTTTTGAAGAGATTGAATCATTTTCTTCTTAAAATTATTTTACCACGTCCTATTTACAGATCCATCTGTAGCTATAATAAAGTCATATTCTTATTCATCTCACTTTTTTTTTTTTAAGATAGGGTCTTGCTATGTAACCCAGATTGACTTCAAGCTTGCTGTTTAGTTCAGACTGGCTTTGAACTCACAATTCTCTTACCTCATCCTCCCCAGTGCTGGGATTAGTAAGGACCATAAGAGGTTTTGTTGCCTAGTTTTCAGTGTTTTGGTGCTATTTTTATTATAAAATATCTTTAAAATAATTTCTGACTTCATTTCATCTCAGAAATAATTCCAGAACTCTCTCTGTAACTTTATAACTGCACATTGTCACACAAATTAGACTCAGCGTTATGGATTGAATAAAGACAGCCCTTTATATGTGGATCATGGGATATGGATCTATTGCTAAATGTCTATTCATTTTTTCCTGTTAATTATAGCCATCCTTTAAGGTATTTTTTCTGCTGTTTGAAAGCAAGAAGTGTGTTATAGGGTGCACATTAAATCCTAGATGTAAAAAGCACTTGTTTTGTATCAGAACTTATTCAGGTAAGGAAAGGTTAAGACAAGTATTTTAAAATATTGAAGCAACTATGTTAAGAGTCTCACTGTATTTAAAAATTGATTTCTCTGCTCTAGTAATGTGCTCCAATTGATGAGGGAGGGGGAAAGACGGGGGACATATGTATGTATATCTGTATCTATCTATCATCTATCTATCTATCATTTATCTCTTTATCTATCTATCATCTATCTATCTATCTATCTATATCTATTATCTATAGAGAGAAAGAGACAGAGAGACAGACAGAGACAAAAGAGAGACAGAAGGTGATTAGGTTCTTGGATACTGTAGAGTCTCAGAAGATCTCTACTCAGTGAGGTGCCTCAGCAACTTTAAAATGGAGCAATCGGACCTACTTTGAGGAGTCTTAGAGGATTAAAATGTTAATAGCTTAAATGTAGTCACAGCTCAGTGAGGGGAGCCATTGCTACAGATCCATAATGCTCACTGATTTGACCCACCCCCTTTCCTAATATTTGTTCCCTTGCTCCTTCTACTCCTTCTCAATAGCCAGCTGCCATCTTACCTCAGGACCTTTGCACTTTCTGTGACCTCTGCTGAATATTCTGTCTGCTACCTAATCATGTGACACTCTCTTTCATGTCATCTTCAGCTGCCCTGTCACCTCTGAGGAGGTGACAAGTTGCAACTATTCCCTTACAGATTTGTTTGCATCCTAGTACTTATCACAGTCTTTATCTCATTTTTACTTTTGGTGTACTTCAGGGAACACAACCTGTAAGAAGGTAATCACCTTCTCTCTCTCTCTCTCTCTCTCTCTCTCTCTCTCTCTCTCTCTCCCCCCTCTCTGTCTCTCTCCATGAGGCTCAACAATTATTTTCCTCATTGCTGAATCCCGAGGCCAAGAATAGTGCTTGGTGCATAACAGCTGCTCAGAAGGTAAGATATGGATGACTGCAGGAATGAATGAGTTAGTGGACTTCCCACGAGGCCTGAGTCGGAATTCTTACTGGTCTCTGCTACAACTCTGTTCTTGCCTCCCCACTTCTGGAAACATCAGACTGATAGCAGTTTAATGCCAGAGCACACTGATTTCTGTACTTTGAACACATAAACCCCTTCCTCATCCACTGTAACCAGAAAGCTTTTGCAGGACTTTCCTTTGCAGCACCCCATTCTTTCTTGAATGCAGCCCATAAAACATTAAACACTACTAATTTATAGTGCTTGGCTTGCAGTGAGGGCATAACACAAATCCTTAGAAATATAAATTCTTCTGATATGATTCTTAGTATGTATCCAAAAGGACCTGGAAGTATTCCAAGCGTTCCCATGTGCAGAGGTGGACAGTGCTGGAGAAGAGTGAGCCATCTTCTAGCTCACTGGCTTCCAAGGGAAGGGTGAGGCATAGCCTCTTCCTCACAGCTCAATTCCGCTTTCAGAATGTTCTTCCAGACTGTTCAAAGTGTTTCAGAGCTAAATAGAAGTAATAGGAACAACTACAAAGAAGAAGTTTTGCTTTCTTCTATCATTAATGTAATTGGATCCACTTGAGGAAAAAAATGTTTTGTTTGGTAGCGGGAAAGTGATAGAGTACAGATTTGCTTGCTTTGAGGTGATTGAACATTTTTCTGAGTCTGGCCATTTCTGCTCCTGGACACAAGTGTCTCCACTGGCTGGGAACAAGCCTACAGAGATCCAACTGCCACCAAGCATTGCTTGAGTTGGAAAGCTTCATTTTATGTGCAAGTAGCTTAGACATCTGTAGCAGGGTATATTTGTGGGCATTCAGGTTAATATTCCTGTCATCCTATTCACGAACAGTGTGTCCAAACAGTGTACTCTTGACTATGTGGTTCATCACCTTTGTGACAGCATTAATGTGTGACCTGTGTTCTGCCTACACTTTGAAGATATTAATAGCAAACAGCATTTATGAACCACTTACAACATGCCAGGTACCATCTAAGTGCTTTATCTGTATTTCCTCATTTAGTCCATGACAGCCCCCTGAAGTAGGCACAGTTTGTCTACCCATTTCATGGAGAGAACCCCAAGGCTCAAACTGTTCAGTCAGTCACTTGCTTGAGGACACCCAGGAAGGACATTGTAATAGTATTCAAGCTTTCAGATTGGCCCTCTATGGTAGAATCTCTGACAAGATGCAGATAAAAACCCTTATGGGAAAGACCATCACAATTGGATACTATAGGACATGTCAAGGCTAAGATGTAAGATAAGGAAGAAATTCCTCCTGATCAGCAAAGATTAAAGATAGTCACACTTTATCTGACTACAACATTCAGAATTAGTCCACTCTTCATTTTGTGTTGGACTTTGCGGTGGTGCTAAGAAAAGGAAGAAGTTTTACACCAAATTTGCTGTCCTGAAATGCTATAAAATGTATGAAAATAGTAAAATTAGTTCTCTTCTTCATGAGTGCCCTTCATATGAATGTGGTGCTGGAGTTTTTATGGCTAGCCACTTTGGCAGACATTGTTGTGGCAAGTGTTATCTGACCTATTACTTGGACAAACCGGAAGACAAGTAATTATGTATGGATTAATAAAAGATATGAACTAAAAACAATTAATGGGCCTGTGAATTAATAAAAGCAGGAGAAAAGCTTGGCAAATCTGTCTCCATTTTGTACCTGTTTTTGCTCTGAGCCATTCACCTTGTAGCCGCTTGACATCTGAGAAGGACTAATGGGTAGTATCTTTACAATAAGAGATGGAAGAAGCTGCCCCCAAGAAAAGGAGAAAAAGAACCTCCACAGGACACAGCACTCACCAGGTAACAATGGCTTGTTATCCGGACCAGATTGCTCCCCTCCAGTGATGGCAGTGATAACAACTTCTTTTGACCCCCTCCCAAAACCAGGACTGAGCTAATGATCCACCAAGCCATGCTACCAATTCTTTTTCTATTTAAACCTGAAGCTCATGTCTGTAGCCCAGGAAGATGAGCTGAAGTGCTTATTTTGCCTCTTCCTGCAGCTGCCTGTGCTGTACAGTAAACCTCCTTTCTTTGCCCTTCACTATTACTAGTCTCTTTATTTGTGTGTTGGGGCAAGTGGATCAAACCTGACATGTAGAACCCCTGAAGTCTTGGCCTGGGGCCTAAAACTTGGTTTCAAGGTGACAGAGTTGGAATTCTAACTGGGCAGCCCTGCTAGAGAGCTTTCTGCTTAATCACACCATTCTTCTGCCTCTGGAGTTGTGGAGAAGAAGTTGCAGGTAGAGAATTACAGGGGAAGTCAGACAAAAGTACTTTAAAAAGTTAGTACCACCTCTCACTTTGCCTTTAAATATATGGCGATCTGAATTACCATACCTTCCGGGGTGTGGGCTTAGCAGCTGGAGGCCCAGTCCACAGCTGCCTCAAGGCAGACTCTAGGAGTTCTTCATAAAGCATCTGCTCAGTTGTAAGGCATTTTAGAGGTGGAGAGTTGGGTGTTAAGGGTCTAGAAAAGTGGAAAGGGAGGGGCCTGACATCAAAGGGCTAGACTAGCCCTTTGAGACTGGACTGGGCTGCACTGACCAGCACATTTGTGCCCTTTATCTCTCTAGTTGCAATCTATTGATGACCCCAAAGGGTTTTAATTCAGCAT